CATATTGCTCCCCCCAGTATGCATATTCCTTTGTGTAAGAACCACATTACACTTCCTCTCTGGACGAACAGTCGCCACGATAGGGGATCGTACAGGTGAATTTCCTGTAGGAGACAGCATATCTTCTTGCGGGCCGCTCTTCCTGTCCGACTCAGTGGCCACAGAATCAATACCAAGCAAGCGCTTCCCCTACCCAACCCTGACGTCACACATCACAGTAACCAATCCCAGAAAAGCTAAAGTTAAAGTACATTTCATAACATATCTTGTTAGGTTTCTGAGTGTAATTACACAAGTTCATCACTTGGGGCTCCTTTCGAGAAGCGACAATATTTGTCGGTAAATTCTGCTTCCACTGTTCAAACTCTATGCTTTCTCCTGTTGAGTTTGACCCTTTAAAGCACAGTGGTAGCTATATGTACTACTTGCTTTAACACTGAAAAGTCTGAATTTTACCCCACAATATATTTACACGTCGTCTACGTTTCTCAGAACAGACAGTGATTATTTTCCTAATAACATAAAACTGCAGGAATTTGTAATGTAGAATCAGTATGTTCTCTGTGTAGTAGACGTTGACGTTTCAAAAGTGAGTTGATAAATTTCAGATTTAAAATGATTAATTTACATAAACAATGCTATATTCTGTTCTGCTCTTTTGGGCGAATTATTACCACCATTCTTGAAGAAATAGAACATAAAAGTGGTATGAAGTGTAGGTCGCCCTGTTTTAGAATGTGTTATCTGGTATGAGTCCTTTGAGGGGTGAAGAGGAATGTACAGCTTCCTTCTTCAGGGTCAAAGAATAAGCAGTACATGAACCCTTACTCTGCTTCCTCGTTGCTTCCTCGGCTTCCCTTGAACCCTCGAAAACAGTTTGTTCCATGCAGAATACCGTCTGCTGGGACGGTACTCGGAGAAAACCTTCCCCAGGGCCACTTTGTCCATCATAAATCCCACTTGACCAGACCCGGGATCGAACCCGGGCCGCCGCGGTGGGAAGCCAGCGACTAACCGCTTGAGCTATGGCGCGGCCTAGTGTTGTGCTTAAGTGTTCGCGGAGTTATACCTCAACTCCTTCATACACCTTTATGGCTTAGTGTTTAATTGAGCATTGGGATAACTTTGTTTTCACTTTTAGGTTACGCGTTATGCAGATGATCCCACAAGTTAACAGCAAGTAGGCAAAATTTTACGAAAAATCTCAGAACAGTTATTGAACCCAGGATCTTTAGAATACGGAGCATGAGTGTTGGATTGTTTGAAGTCTACGCGTCACACTCGTTTGATTCCCATCCTTACTTAGAGATACTGAAGACATTGCTTCTAATTTGATGCTAGTTCATATTTTCGCTGCAGATAAGGCATACCTACAATAACATGGCTCGTTTGTACCGACCTAACATTTCCTCTCCTATTCAGACAGAACCCATCTCTCTCCCCTCACATCACTTTACTCCTTCAGCAACCCTTTCATCCCCTCGTATCCTCAACCCTCTCTTCACCTGGAGCTTCCATCAGAAATCTCTTCCTGGAGATGGCTACATTCAGGGGCGTAACCACTGGTTGCCATGGCAACAAGCATCTACAGACTGACGTAACAGAATGATGGCTTTACTACCTTCAGTCGTACTGCTTAGCAACAGATAACTCCTACGGTCGGTGGGTGGTGTAAGAAATACCGTATGTTCAGGAGAGATGCTACCCAGAAACTGAACCTCACAAGATTCGCAAGTAATGGAACCGAATCAATTTCCAATCAATCACTAATGAACGCCATGAAATATTATCTTCGATCATAAACTAATATTCGTTTAGCCAGTTAAAAAATTCGTAACCTTTTTTCGAAGCCGAATCTTCAAAAAGGCCCGTTAATTAATTAATCTGGTATATTCAAGAGATGTGAAAAGATCATGGCACAAATTAAGAGTAATATAATCTGAGAATTACGTCGTGTAGTCTGGTAGGAATTTGTCGACATTTCGGAGGAACATACTTCCGTTATCTTCAGGGTCAAAGAGTAAGCCAAACAAACAACCACTAAGAAGCAAGCAGCAAGCAGAGCTCTGAATATGGAAGTAATATTTCCTCCGAAACTTTGGTTATCTTCTAGCAGACTAAACGCTGCTCCAATAAGAAGCCAGCACTCTTTGCAGTGACTGCCAAGGGAGCCTTATATCTGAGAGGGTGGAAATAAATGACAGTGGAACAAACCTGCATTTGTTATTTTCTATTCTGCGGAGCATTGCACTGAAGACTGTGTAGGTTATTAGACATAATCTGAGATTATGTCCTCTCTAATCCCTTAACAAAACAACAAACGTTCCAAAGTTCGTAGATCTTAATTAGAATCGTTATATTTTACAGTCCTGCTAATAATTATGAAGAATTCTGTCATCTGGGATACATGTCGTGTAGTCAGTTGATTACTTATTTTTTAAAAGCCCCAAGTTCTTATCATTAAACTAATTGAAAATAACACTTCATAACATTGGATCGTGCTGGTCACGGTAGCTGAGCGGGCTAAGGCATGCACTGTCTTCGCTCGCTCGGAAGCCGGGATCTTGGGTTCGAATCCCACTCAGGGCATGGGTGTTTGTGTGCGTTTTTCTGTGTTTGTGTACAGGTAGAGGCCTTGCTAGGAGCTGATCACCCGCCCATGGAGTCCTACCGTACGTCTAAGATCTAGTAAACCGAAGTGAAACGGAGAGTTTCATGGAGGTAGGCCTAGGCCCAAATGAGGGCTGTAGCGCCAATGGAAAAAAAAAAACTGGATCGTGTGTACATAATAATGTAGCATACAAATTTCCCGAAGGTGTTCTTTGCTAGCTTATTAAACTTACGTGTTCTTCTTCGTAAACGACCATTCAGCAAAAGGAAAAGGACAATGTATTATATACAACGAACACAACCCATATCTGAGCAGAATAATAACGTACAATATCATATTGTAGCATATTTGCTCAAAGCAAGAAATATGGAGCCAGAGAAACAGCCATTGCTGGGTAACGACTGTATAACACATAACACTGGAGTGACTGTTGGAAGCGGTGTGTTCTGTGCAGTCTGGCCGAGGACCAGCTACCGATACAGGGGAGTCTTTGAGAAGGGAGTTTGAAGAGTAGGAAGTTGGTGTGCTATAGCAACCAGGAGTGAGCCCGGGAGCAGGGGAACATCCACTAGTAAAGGCACAGTAGACTAAGAAGACTTAGTGCGTGCTGCAGTGAACTTCAGGAGAGTGTGTGAATTAGCGATAGCGCTATAGTTGCTTGTATTTACATCTGTTAGTTTTCAATAAATCCATTTACCAATAAAAACCACGTCTATAGTCGCTAAAATCAAGTGACAATAATGCAAGAAGAACTGTGAAACGGTTTATTGGAGACATAGAGATGTTTATTTGCAAGTATAGTAGAAGAGGGCATGTTGAAGTCAACGGTAAAGTGAAAATCTTAATATAAAATCCTGTTTGTTGCATGGCATCCGATTTAGGAGAGTTATTCCCCATGAGGGGAAAGAAAATGCAGCTTTGAATGGAATTATTTGAAGGAAGGTGTAAATTTCATATGTTTGTTTAATAGAAAGCAATGTGGTTCACACGTGCTTGACTTAAAATTCGTTATCACTCAAAAACGAATCATGAATACTGCTCCAAAAATTAACGAAATGTAGGGTGAGGCCCATACATCTGTAACTAATCCTACCCACTGCATTAATAATGTAATTTTCTGCTAAGGAAGTAATGATATGCCGGTCACGGTAGCCGAGCGGTCTAAGGCATGCACTGTCTTCGCTCGCTCGGAAACCGGGATCGTGGGTTCGAATCCCACTTATGGCATGGATGTTTGTGTGCATTTTTCTGTGTTTGTCTACAGGTAGAGGCCTTGCGACAAGCTGATCACTCTCCCAAGGAGTCCTACCGTATGTGTAAGATCTAGTAAACCGAAGTGAAACGGAGAGTTTCATGGAGGTAGGCCTAGGCCCCAATTGGGGCTGTAGCGCCACAGAAAAAAAAAGTAATGACGCCGACCATACCAATGAAGAAGTTTTTATCAGTCTTGATAAAAACTTCACTGAACTTGTCCACTTTGACAACTAGTACTTCATGATTTGAAAGGGGGGAAAAAAAACTTCCAGTGTTCATAAACTAAATCAAGTCCCCTGATAAATACTAGTTACGCTTCACATATCCAAATCAAAATATTATTGATAATCACAGAAGAATCACGATCGCTGAAACATGTGACTGCTCGCTAGATCGTGAAGTACTAAAAAACTTCGATTTATGTAAGGTGTTAACGCTTAGTTTGTTGCTATGGTAACCCCAAATGCGTAATTTCAGAGTTTTTTCTCACTGTTGCAAAACTCTCTTTATAGACCTGGGCCTATTTAGAAGGATATATAAAGTGTGGTTTGTAATCGGCCAATCAGGTAACATTTGAGTCCTGTGAAGAGCTCTCATACAGAACTGCATACAAACAATATTAATATTGTACGAAATGGGCCCACGTGAAATCGACAATTTATGGATGAGTTTGCGATGGGTGAATATGGTTGAAAATATGAATTAGCTGACATTTTGTGAATGTCTCCAAAATCGGTTTTTTAAACTTTTCTTACAGTTCAGCTGCTGATGCTAGATCACAGAAAGATGTAACTTCCACGTAAGGCATTGTATTTACGTAGTAGCAAATACCTCAAAATTCATTTCATTAGATAAAAGGAAAAGTTGTCCCTGTGTTCAACGAATTGAACACTACGACATGAAGGCGTATGGGGAATTGATGTATTGATCCTCGGCACTAGCTGAAGGTGGGAGGTAAGCTTCACGCCCCGGCCGCTTTACTCTTGGGGTGAGAGCGTCAGGTACCCTTAGGATAGGAGGTTGAGTGGACCCCAGAGCCCTTTTGGACGATTTGGAGAAGAGAAAATTCTTGACCCTAACGGGACTCGAACTCCGGCTGTTACTCGGCCAGTTTGTAACGAGTCACTATACCGACTACCCTACCCCGGCTCCAAAAATTCAGTTCATGCTCAAAGAAAATACATTGAGTCTCAATTACAAAAACAAATATTTAATGTTTGGGGGGGGAAGTCGCTCTTGATCCTGAGAACCATATGAAACCCATAAACATACTCTGTGGTCGAATGCAAATTCTTTTAATGGGGAAGTAGATGGTGCCATATAGTTTTCAATATGCCTTAAATGATTAAACAATATAGCATTCTGCAAAGCACTCCGAAGATAATTGGTTCCACTATTTGTATGCATGTTTGCTGGTTCACTGTAATGGGTGTTGTACTAGGCTGTACATAATATCCAATGTACTGAAGTTTTTATGAAAATAAAGTGTTGGGAACGCAACAGGCAAATTCCTTTGCATTATTCAGGAGACGTAATGAGGAACTGGCATGGAGATGCGTGCGCCGTGAGATGTATTATAGGGCCTCGACGCTCTCTTCGATGGTAAATATGCCAACGTACAACAGGCAGTAAATCTGTTACCACGCCTAGTAACAAATCGTTATGATATCCTATACATAATACAGTTGCTCTTCTAGCTCTGTATACCGTACGGATTAAACAACAACCAACAATTTTGTTTTTTAATTCGTGATTATGGGCTGACCACAGACAAAATCAAAGCAGTCTACAAACTGGTGTAACAAGCACAAGTGTGACTGTGCATCTTACATACGTAATTTCACTTATTCATTAATAAGTCGAGGCACGCCTTCTTCCGGGATATGGTAGTTTTCCTCGTCAATATCACAAAGTACAGTCTCTTAAAATTGTAACGGATTTTGATCAACGCGTTGCCAGGCACCAGCTCTGTAAACACGGTCCAACACGCAACGATAGAGGAAGCTGTTTTCTGTAGATCCGACCGACGCGCTATTAGACTGGCTGGATAGCGACCACGGGATATGTGTTTACTGCAGAACCATGTCCGTTCCGCGGCTATATAACGAGAGCCGTGAGCTGTAAGTTCAGAGCGAATTGGAACTAGGGGTACAGAAGAGTACAAGAGGTCAGCCTGTGAGGATTTAGAAGACCTTATGTGTGCTGTAGCACACTGATGTTGGGAATGTGTGATTTAGTGAGACTTTTATAGTCTTGTGTTATCAATCCATAAACACTAGTGCAGATATGCTGAAGAGACTAGTGTAGAGTGATTGTAAACTTTGTAAAGCAGCAATAGTGTAATAATTCATTGTATTCTTTTTTGCTAGTGGGGTGGGACTAAGTCCCTTGTACTGCGGCCACTTCTGGCCTACTGTACCAGACCCAGATGACAGGTGAGGGTGATTGTGGTGCAACTGGTGGAATGTAGATTGGCAGGGGAAACCGAAGTACTCGGAGAAAATCTGCCTGAGCGTCACTTTATCCACTACAAGTCCTCCTTGACCAGACCCGGGATCGAAACCGGGCCGCCGCAATGGGAAGCGAGCGACTAACAGCTTGAGCTATGGCGCGGCCACATAATTCATTGTAGCTGCGACCTGTAAGTGGTCAATAAATCCAATTACCAATCCGACATCCGTTTTTAATCACCCATACAGGTGACTAGAGATGGAACAGCACTAAAATTGGTAAATTAAATACAATTGCCTAAATAAATATTAGATTATGAATGAGTATTTGAATCTGATTCAGAAACTATACAACAGTGAATACAAAACGTGAAATCACCACCCAAGAATAGGTCTATTTCATTTATTTCCTCCTTACTGAACAAATACTACTATATCCCCAAAATGTTTCGGACATAAGTTGACCACCTTCGAGTAAGGTAAAGCTGTCCCTGTGTCTAATTAATTGAGCATAATGCCATGAAGACATATAGTGGAATGGAGGTATAGCTTCAGCTTTCTTGACCTTGCTACTGGATGGGGGTTAGCTGTCAGCTTCACGCCCCTACCGCTTTATCCCCATGGAAAAATTCCCCAGTACAAATCAAATAGGAGGCTGGGTGTACCCCAGAGGCGGTCTGGACTCTGTGGAGAAAACAAAAATCTCTTTCCTTACCGGGAATCGTTTTCCGACCCTATTCGTAAATAATAAAGATTCATATGACGTTCATATTCTTTGATAAGAGCCACTGTTGGGTACTGTCTTGTCAAATTAGTGCTGCATTAACCTTCTTCTGCGTTAACTATTTATAAATTTGATCACTACACTTACTTACTTATTGAGTCGCCAATTCTGCAGATACTCAAGGATTTTCCAGCATTTTATGGAACCCAAAGGTTCATTACCGTGTTCACAAGAGCCCTCCACTGGTCCCTTTCCTGAGCCAGATCAATCCAATCCGTCCCATCCCATCCTATCTTTGTAAGATCCATTTTAATATTGTCCACCCACCTACTCCTTGGTCTTCCCAGTGATCTCTTTCCTTCTGGTTTCCTCACCAATATACCATATGAATTCCTTGTCTCCCCAATTCGTGCTACATGCCCTGTCCACCTCAATCACTACACTTAGAGGACCTAAATATTTTAAATTATATATGCTGTAAATTTTATTTTAATATTCAGTCTCTTCCTGATTTTGATCATCTTACAATCGAAACATGTCAGGGCTGTAATCGTATTTAGTCTGCCAAAAGTAAATAAATTATATGTTCTTGAATGATGATTTCACATTTTATCTCAGTATATAAATTACATCTGCAAAATTGAGTTTTCTGAAAGGTACCGCAGCACTCGCCCATCTCTACAGCAACCGTGACTACCGTACATATTGGCACAGAGCATGGAATAAATTCTTTAATAATCTTGTGTGTTCTCAGCTGGGTCCGCTGTAGATACAGGAAAGAGACACGAAATGTACTGTTTCTAGAAGTAGACCCACATTACACACAAATCCAGCGCCTAGCTGCAGGGCACAATTCCCTTACGTCGACAAAGCAGCAAGCACAGATCGCTAGTAGAAACTCAGAGAAAGGAAAGAGAGAGAGAGAACTCATAAATGGAAAAACTATTTTGCGTAATACAACCGATAACAGCCGGAAGCGGGGGGAGGTTGGAAGTGGAGATGTAGATGCTAGATAGACGGGTGGCACAGAATCAGTGTTCATTCTTTCGGTGATCCGACTTTACGCTGAGGGAGTAGATGGAAAACAGAGAATATCATACAATGAGGGACTTCATGAAATACGGAGTTCACCAAGTACGAGGTGATGGTAGGTCACACAAGTTCTTCATGTGAGATTAATAAAAGCTGCAGCAGAAAATTCTTTTTATTGTGCCGTATGAAACATGGGGAAAAGATGGAAAGACAATATCAAAACTGATGTCACATAAGAAAGCTGTGAGGATGGCAGTTGGGCGGAACTGGGCAGGATTTGGTACTGAAGGTTTTCAAAAATCGAACTTTACAAACACTTTCAGTCGGTCAGTGAGGTGGATTGGAGGTAGATAGAACTGTCTCAGGACCGTAACCAGTGGCTGGTGATTGTATTAATAGTATTGACCCTTCGGGTTCTGCTGGAAGAGAGTTCGTATTCGTATTCGTATTGAGATGGGGTGGGTTTCCCCATGCACTTAGACCAGTTATTGGTCCATTGTGTGTCCCCTTTTTTAATTTCTACTGTCGCCATACCGTACCGGTAACGGTGAGTACCATCAGCCCCCGTAGAGCCAACGAGGTCGGCCCCCGGTACCTTGATGCTTCCCCCATCCACCAGAGGCTTTGGAGACTACTTGGGCGGGAAAGGGGCTGTAATTTAGCTCAGAGGTCTCCTAGAGACATGAGGTTCTTTTACGTGCCGTAAAGCTACGGCACGGGACCCACGGCTTAAAGTCCCTCCCGGAGGACTTGTTCCCTGAATTTTTCCGCCCTTAAAAATTCCACGACCTCCGCCGGGTTTGAACCCGCGTACCTTGAGTCATGAGGTGGGAACGTTACCCCTAGACTGCGGATGCCGCTTAAAAGGGAGTTCTTTAATCAGTAAGATGGATTTTATGGAACTTCGTTGTGAGGATAAGAGGTGCTTGGTACTGGTTCAGAACGTCCTTATCTGCTTTCAGGGGCGAAGTTAGTCATTCAGTCCCTTAGATATTTTGTATCGTTAAGAAACAGATGGGCTCATTAACTCATGGCGCTATCTAGGTCTCTATAACGCTATTAAAATTAGGTGAAGTTGTCCCTGTGCTCAACTAATTAAGCACTACGCCATGAAGGCGTATGGAGGAGTGGGTGTATAGATTCACATTTTCTTGACCTCGGCACTAGTTGGAGGTGAGTGGTCAGCTTCACGCCCCGGCCACTTTACCCCCGGGGAAGAAGCCCCTGGTATTTATTGAATAGGAAGTTTGGTGGACCCCAAAGTCGGTCTGGACGACGTGGAGAAGAGAAAATTCTTGACTCTACCGGGACTCGAAATCCGACCCCTTTTTCTTCCAGCCCGTAGCCAGTCGCTATACCGACTACGCTATCACGGCGCCACGTAACGCTATTATAAGACTAAAATAAAAATCGGCGTATCGAATTGTAACACACGACAGCGTAACCCGTGATATCCTAGTGCTGGCAGGTTTTCCCGCAACTGGATGCATCAACATGCACTTACGGCCAATCTTCTTCATTTTATTTTGTCTCTTGAGGGTGTAGATCTGTTTAAAACTGTCACAATTTACAAATCAATTATGCATGCATTTTGAACTTCTTCGCATAACCGGGTGTAACACGTCTCTCATCAGACCGTATCCTAAGCAGCAGTCCTGTAGTTCTGCTGTTTCAATTCGCGTGAGACGTTCTGCACATGCCAGTGGCGTGGACACAGCAAGCGAGCGGCGCCTGCGTTTATTCAAGGGATTGACTCTTCCCGTGTTACTAATGAGATTCCTTGTTCTCTGTAAACAAATTTGTTCTTTAATAACATCATTAAGGGTTTATAAGACTGTTGTATTCTGGGATATGACGCCGTGAAGTCTTAGATAGTTAAAAATGTCTCGGGAATACACGCTTCCTTCTTCTTCAGAGTACAGGATAGAGACAGCATGTTCTTCCTAAATACTAGTAACCATCTACCAAACTATACTGAGGCTGTAGAAAGAAGGTCCATGGGTGGTGGGAATGACGAAACTTAAGCCTCCTACCTCCCTGGCATCCGTTGCTCTCGCACAAACCCGTCTGGCGTTTCTTAGCCAGTCCAAAGCACATGACTCTAGCGAATGTTATCATGTAAGTATCTCATCATTGTTGTGAACACCATGGATAGGCGAATGGTGCTGGAAGGCGAAGCGTAACAGCGCGATGACAACATGGAAGGGGGGGAGAGGTTCACGGTACTTCTTTACGCGGCTGAAGTATACTTGACGTTACACCCCACGAGAATGTAGTCTTAATATTCATCGCCTTCCCCACCGGGAATTGAATTCCGACTATTCGGTCTTCCAGTCCATAGCCTAGCCGCTACACTGACTGAGCTAACCCGGCTCTACGAGCTTGTGAATACATTATCCTGTGATTTCTACGTTTCATGGTGTAGTCGGCGGAGAGTTGCCTGACTACCGGGGTCGTAGGAAATGAGTCCCGTGGGAAAGCTTTACTGGCGAGGGTCAGCAGCAATTTACCAGAGCAGACAAGATCAGGTCTCTGTTAGTATTTACTGTTCCGAAAAGAACGCCTACACAGAACAGTAACATCTCAGAAAGGGCTGACGTACTAATATCAATTAATTATATTGCAACGTGATGCCAGAACATGAAAACAAAATTTTTAGGCGAAATAATAGGCACGAGAATTTCCAGAATACATTCTCCTCCTCCTACGTTCATGTTGACTTCTCACTCTTCGCAGATTACAGGTAGGACTAAACCTGTAGATATTCTAAGATTAGGACTATTTCTCCTGGATAAGTGAATACTTGCCGATTACAACGGCCGCGTGGCCTAAGGTATGAATCAACTTCGCTCTCTCAAACATTAGGATCGTGGGTTCGAGGCATGGATGTCTGTGTAGGTTTATTCTGTACCTGTGTTTTTCTATGTGTAGGTAGAGGCCTTGCGACAGGCTGCTCACCTGTTCAAGGAGTCCTCTCACTGTTTATAGATTAAGAGACTGAAAAAGCCGTCAGTACCGTAAGGGCTGTAGAGCCATAGATACATAGAAGATATACTCACTTCGGCCTACACATTGGAATCGCATTAAATTATCTCTAGATCATGCCTGCTCCAAAGTATGCCAGATATCTTGCCTCCAGGTTTTCCAGGACTGAGATTAGCGTAGTCTTCCTCAGCCCCTCTAAGCACGTGATGGGGCAGTACCTCGAGTAAACCACGGCCACTTCCGTCCGTATCCTTTCAAATTTACCACTCACCGATCTTCCTACTGTTCACCGTTATGTAAAGTAACCATCAGGTTAAACCTAAAATTATCCCTGTGCTTAACTAATTAAGTACTACACCATTAAGACGTATGGAGGAGTCGATGTATAGATCCACATTTTCTCAACCTCGGCACTAGCTGGAGGTGAGTGGTCAGCTTCAGACCCCGGCCGCTTTACCCCTGGGGAAAGAGCCACGGTACCAACTGGATAGGAGGTTAAAACTCATAAACCGCCACTGGCTGTAGGACGACATAAACAAAGCTTGACAAGTGTCTTACGAGGTACGGTTATTGGTAAGAAATTGAAAACGTGCTTGGACTGCGGGCGTGTCTCGGTACGCGGTGGGTGTGGCGTTAGGGCACAACAGCCACGAGGAAGCTGATGTCATGTGACGAATTACTTTCGTCGGAAACTGCCTTACAACTATGCATTATCCTACCAACTTAAGTCACTAATAGGACGTCAGTAATAGGGCTATATCTGTCACTTCGAGGCACAATACAGGATGGCTCGCAATTTCAAAGGGTCAGCAACAATTTTGACGGGAACATTAAAATTCTGTCTATGGCGTTTGAGTACTCTTCAGAGTTGGTTGCAGACGTTTTTCTTTAATGCCAATGGGGTGGGACTAAGTTCCTTGTACTGCGGCCACTTCTGGCCTATTGTACCAGCCCCAGATGATAGGTGAGGGTGATTGTGGAGCAGTTGATGGAATGAAGATTGGCAGGGGAAACCGAAGTACTCAGGGAAAACATGCCCCAGTGCCATTTTGTCCACCATAAATCCCACTTCACCAGAACCGGTATCGAACCCGGGCCGCCGCGGTAGGAAGCCAGTACTAACTGCTTGAGCTATGGCGCGGCCCTCGTTCCAGACGTTACATGAATCGTAAAGTAATCTTCGTACAGTGAGTAAAGGGTGGTAAGCGCGACGAAATGAAAGAAGAGCTTCAAATCACTCCAAATATTACACATGAATAAAGTCTTCTAATCACACACAAAGCCTTCACATGGCAAACTTTCCGTGGCCACCTTCCACTGAGAACCTTTGAAAGTAGCTACACGTAAAACTCTGTCACTCTCACTTAAACACATAAAAAACGGAAATACGTGTATTTTCTATATGGAATCTCTTTATATAGCCTCCGCACCGAACACATAGAAAACATCCTCTATTTTTGTAAATGAGTGTTTACCGCGACGTTGCATAGCAACGGTCGCTGCACCGTCTCCATAGAAAGCCACTCACGTGATAATCATCTCGCTAGCATATTTGCTCGCCGACTATTGCCTGGCAACGAACTATTAACATTCATCCTATTGTTGATTGCGCTGACGCGACTGAAGGTAGTTTACAGGTTGTTGCCTAGAAACGCTCTAGCCATCCATGTTACAGTATTGTTGTATTGTGGGGAGCGACTCTATATAGTTTCGTGTGTATATGCCATGTTTCAGAGGAAAATACTGCCTAATCGTCAAGGCTTGGTATTTGTCTCTCCTGAAGTACAAACAGTGAACTTTTATCGAGAAGTGCTTGGTTCGAATCTCGGTCGGGACACAGACTATCCTAAGTGAGGTATTTTGTAGGTTGCTTCAGTCCTTCCTGACAAATGCTGGGATAGAGCTTCTAAAGATATAACGACCAGTTGCTTCTACATCCATTCCAATTCACCGCTCACTCTCGTCCTTCATTAGCTGAACAATCGAAGAATAAAGCGACTAATTTCTTGTTCGACCTCTCGAACACTGATATGGCAATCCCGCTGGAGGTCCAGACGTCTGTCCACGTTTCCTATGTAGGCAAAGGCCTTGTGAAGGTCCGATTCCTCATCCACGGAGTCCTGCAAATTTCTGAAAGATTCAAAGTTTCGGAAATGTATTCTGGCATAACCTGCAACGCTGAGAAAGAAGAATATGAGAAGAAAATCAGATGGACTTAGCATGTAGCAAGCAAGAAATAAATCAAGAAAAAAAAACGCCGAACTTTTAGGATATATTCTGTTCTTGAAGATATTTACTGCTCGAATGGAATATAAATATTCATTGCCATTTTTTTAAAAAATCCGCTATTCTACCATAATTTGGGCCAGTTCAGTCCACGTTTTATATCTGAATCATGTTATACATATCGTCCAACGCACTTTACTTCATTTAATCTCCCTAACAACATTAGATCTGATTAAGGTACTCAGACTGTGAACTCTATCATTGGTAACTGTTTCCGTGTGTGTTTTCTTAGACGACTGATAGGCCCTGGTGTTCTGTCTCAAGGAAGGCTGTTCGCTTGTCTTTTCTCTCTCCTGTGGTATTCCTGAACGCTGTTGATGATATACAAGCGTCAAACCTTTGCTATTCTGTTTTACCGACTTCTCTTTAACACTTCACTGCAAATATTCCGCCAGGCAGACTCAGGCTTTGGCATCAACACAGAAAATGTTTAGAAGAACACCTGAACAACAGCAGCAGCGACAACAGAAACAATAACAATAACAACAGAAGAGTCACCATAACAACAATAATTATAATAATGATATCTTGTGTCCGGGGTTCCCTGACTAGTAATAATGGCTTCTGGATTTGATGATTGGATTTATTGGCACTTCTTTTAAGTTAAATTAATTATTACAGTTCGTGATTATCTTGACCTCCGAGACCTCTCTTTATTCTGCTTCTCGTTCTAGGACTGCCTGCAAAAGACCTTCGGCACGGACCACGCACAGAAAACACACTGCGAACACCATATCCTAGCAATTCCTCTATTCTTATAAAAACGGAAATTCTCCTATTTTTGCTTGCGTTACATCGAGAATGCGTCTAACGAACGTTGCCTAGCATTGGACTGTTCCAGCTGGTTGACCCGAAAGCGTCAGTGTAGGTCAGATTACTCCTCCAAATAAAATCGCTTATATTTTTAAGATTACTTTAACCTGACGGTTCCTACTCTGACATATATAGCGTAACATTTATGTGTCTGACATAAAGTCATTTGATAAGACTACTCGTGCAAATGTGACCAAGAAGATATGGCAAAATAATTTTATGTAGGAGCATGACTGATAATGTTGTCTTGAATCATATTTCAATAAATTCAGCAGCAATTACAGATATACGCCCTCACTTTCGACATACTGTATCCCTCCTAAGGGTTAAGCAGATCTAAATAATGTACAGAACATTCGGGGTCTGCTTCCAAGAAAACACGCCATGTCTTTTATTACGTTAATTTGGGTAAAGCAGCTGATGAAAGTTTTTTTTTTATCTTTGAGAACTAATTGAAGCTAGGAGAAACTCTCTCGAAGTAAAACATCAACTTCCTTAACGTTGAACCTGGTGACATACACCAGAACACTGTTCACTGAAGGTCCTAAACGTGGATGCTACGTAACATAAAATACGAACCAAATTTATCGTTAGGAAGCTGAAACTAAACAGGAGATTATGTTGATGAAATATGTACCACGCGTGGTGAAGATAACAAAACGAATAAAGAATTAGCCTATTCCTCTTCCTCCTCCTCCTCCTCCTCCTCATCATCATCATCAAAACATTTTTCTTCTATTTCCTCTTCTCTTTTTGAACTACGCCCAATTTGACCCTCAGCTTCTGTTATGTACAGACCTACAGGTTTTCTAAATCCTACAGAGATAAATTTGTCTCTGAGTTTAATTATGCACCATGCCATGAAAGCATTTGTGTGAATGGAGGAATGGCTCCGCGCATTCTTAACCTTGATACAAGACGGAGGTGAGTGGTCACCCCATGAGACACATTCGCTGGTGCCAATAAGATGGGAGGTTGAGTAGGTGTCAGAGAAGAGAATGATCTCTGTTCCTGCAAGATACCTCAAGCGTCCGGTCCAAATTCTAGTCACTATAAAGACTGAGCTATTAGACAGGAAATCCTAATGGGAGAGGCAGTAAACAAGGAAGGGGATTGAGTCGCTCACAAATACAAGTAAAACAGCTGCAATGGACGTAATATATTTTCCTATGTGTATCACTAGGTAGTAGCATAGTCCAGCTTTATGACAGTCTAAGTAACAGACGCGCATGTTCAGAGGCTGGTTTCAGTAGTCAAAATGGAAACCGTGTTTTAGGAATATACTACCGAAGAGCAGCGTTCTGTTGTGCGTTTCTTGTGGGCAAAAGGACTCAATGCAAAGTATATTCATAAAGAAATGTTTACCGTTTACGGAGAGAAGTGTTTGTTGGGTAAAGCGGTTCACAACTGCGTCATTAAATTCTCTGAAGGACGTTTGAAAGTCGCAGATGATTCCCGGCCAAATGTCCGTATTAATATTGCGACAGAAGCCACTGTGCGGCGGGTGGAAGAGTTGATTCGAGCTGACAGGAGAATAAGGATAGGGAGTACAGCAACTGCACTGGAGTGTTCCCACGGTTTAGCATACAGCAGAATGCATGTTCGTCTGAAGTTTCGGAAAGTGTGCGCACGATGTGTGCCCATGGAACTGAAGGACTGAGAAGAAAGTAACGGAACGAGATTATTAGTCCTAGCAAGTCTCTTACGTGCAGATGAAGGAGATGATATGAGGACAGTTACTGGGGACGAATCATGGGTGCATCACTACCAACCCGAATCAAAGCGTGTTTCAATGCAATGGAAATATCCCAGTTCACCTTCAACCAAAATTTTAAGTTCACACCATCAGATGGGAAGGTTATACTTATCGTGTTTTGGGATTTTCAGGGAGTACTGTTAGCCCATTTTCAGAAGAGCGGCTGAGAATATGAATTCTGCATCGTACTGTGAAGTTCTGTTGAAGCTTGGGGATGCAACTCGCAGAAAACTTCCTGACAAACTGGCAAGAGGGTACTGCTTCATCATGACAATGCCAGACCACATACATTTCGAGCAACACAGGAGAGAATTCAGGAACTACAGTGGGAACTTCTTGAACATCCGTCTTACAGCCTGGACTTGACCCTTAGTGACTTCCATCTGTTTGGCCAGCTAAAAGCTGCCTTAGTGGCAGACGTTTCGGTGATGATCAAGAGGTTGAAACGGAGGTTGAAACGAAGGTTGGGATGTGGCTGAGACAACAGTTGAAAAACTTCTATGCTGCTGGTTTCGACGCACTGATAAAGCAATGGGCCAAATGTATTAATTTTGGTGTAGGATATGTTGAGAATTGAGTGTTTTCTCCAGGTTCGAATATCACATATTTTACTTTTCATGCCCATTTATGACCTATTTACTGACTCTTCCTCGTATTTTACTCGGGGTTTGGTCCATTGTGATTGGTCTAATACGCAGGATCACTGATAGAGAAACAGGGATGATTTGTAACCACGTTCATAGTATTCAACCGGTTACTGAGCTTTGCTATCATGAGTCATATACTCACTGGCCCCCTTCGATAGGACTATCAATTTCATGAAACTAGTACTTAACGTAATTTTGTGAAAAGTTTACACTGCAAGAATTGATAATACAGAGGTAGTAATTATCCCGGAAACAGTAGTAACGCAGAAGAACGATGTTCTTCTTCTCTTATTTCCGGTTCATTATCACGTGATAGCCTCATTGCCTGCCCATTGCTGACAGCTACTGGGAGATAAAGGCACTTCCTCC